GTGTGACTCGCTTTGGCCGCGGGGACCGGAGCCAGCGAGTGGGGGGGAAATGGATAGGCCCGGTTGAATAGGGTCTGTTTGTTCATTTTCATCATGTCGCGAGGAGTCAAGGGTTGAGTAGGCTATGCATAGTCTGTGCCGGCAGGGATAGACGGGTAGGATTAGGCCACGTGGCCGTTCCCGATGCCAGCCGGCAGAGGAGACGATACCGCACGGCAGCTGCCATGCCAAGAGCGGTCCGTGCCGGGTAGTGTCCAGATAGCGACACGTGGCGCAGACGTGCCACGTTGCAGCGATAGGGCGAGCCGCGGCCGGCTTGCGAGCCTGGCGCGCGCGCCGCAGGTAGAGTCCAGGGTTAGTCCACTAGTGTATTGCTAGCGGTAGACCGCCGAGAATACCGGCCGAGTCTTGGGTACGAGACCTTAGCCCATGATTGAGACTCGTGCCGGCCGAACCCATAGGGCCGAGGAGAGGTGCTCCCTTCACTTCTCTTAGGCAAGTCTCCACAGCTAGGCGCATCGAGCATAGGGCGCTAGTGTTCATTGCATAGTGCAGCGAGCTATTGGCAGCAGGGATCGTGAACTGTGGCGGAGGTTCTCCTCCTTTCAAGTGAGTGTGGGAAGACGCGCTATCAGCTCATGTGTTGTGCATGATCGGAGCCGAAGCCTCGAGAAAGGGAGAAGTCACAATGGCCATGAGCATTGCATGATTGGTGATGTGCATGCTGCATGAAGAGAGCAGAAGGAGATCTACGGCACTTGCAGCGCCTCCACGCCCCCAATGTGTTTTGCGTGCAAGGGAATTGGCACGTCATCAATGGATAGGCCCGTTTGAATAGGCTCGTTTTGTTCATTTTCATCATGTCGCGAGGAGTCAAGGGTCGAGTAGGCCATGCATAGTCTGTGCCGGCAGGGATAGACGGGTAGGATTAGGCCACGTGGCCGTTCCCGATGCCAGCCGGCAGAGGAGACGATACCGCTCGGCACAGAAACGCTTGTTCACACCGTTCAGTCCACGCCCACAAATGTTTAGCACGTGTTAAGTCAGTCAGAGGTGCCGCCAACGGGGCAAAGTCTTTAAATGAATCGCTCAGCCGCCGCAAGTCGCATGCGCAACGGAAACTTTTGTGTGCGTAGCGTGCATTTCAGGCCACAGCTCTCCGGAACCTGGTAGCTCTCAGCGAACGCACAAGTGTCCCATACCACTAGTTTTTAGCACCTTTTAAACTGCAATTACATATGCCAAGCTTTCTTCCATCATTCATTCATTCATTCATTCACACAAGCAATGCACTCACAGACTTGTGCTCGGGGAGGCACATCTCATGTCATACCATCACAGGGGTAGTTCCCTGATTATGGCCATGAGCATTCTTCCTGCGGAGACCTTGCAGAGTGACAGTAGTCACGCAGCACTCATGCAATGAGGGGCAACAATATTTGAGATATAACAAGGCGTCCTGCCTTAAGCCACACAGAATGTCTTAGTGCTTACACAGCGCACTAGCCCCTTGTAATTGGCTAATTTCGCTAATTCAAGCAACTGTGAGAGGTGCAATTAGCGGAACTACTCGAATTAGCTAAGTAAAGATGAAATCATAGTCAGCTAGCGTACTTTTCTTTTGCACACTATGTGTACAGCAATGTGTTCAACAAAGGTTTGAAGTCCAGGGATCACGCCAACTATAGTAATTCAAGCTACATTGTGTACAAACCGTCATAGGCAGAAAATGCTTGGAATAACAGCGTACAAGATGGAAGATGGAAAAAAGCGTTCAAAGGGTCGTCGGTTGTGCTCAAGGGGTTAACAAATGTAATTATGCTACAAACTACGCTCCCGAATTCCTCCAGAATCCCCAAGGCCCGGATTAGCGTCCCTCTAATCTCAGGGGGGGACCTTGTTCTCTTCCAACTCGCAAACCCCTCGCAAATAAAGAGGGCGGGTATTTTTTTCAGAGTGACCTTCCCCTTAATATATCAAATACAGTAGGTGAGGGCAGACTTCAGCGGTTTCACAGCATCGACACTAGGGAAATCGATCCGAGTCGGTCCAGTCCTGACAGTCAGGTAGTGTATTGCTTGGGAACCCCCATCCGGCGGGCCGAGACCCCCTGACGTAACCGACCGCACGAGCAGGCGAGCGAGCGAAAAAGGCGACGTACCGGCCGGGGCGCGAGGGTTTCAGCTAGTTTTGCGGGTGTGTGGGCCTCCGCTTCACGGTTGGGATGGGGCCCACTGGGAGGATCTGTGTAATCGGGACCGCCGGTGCTCACGTGGCCGGCGGGCGCCAATCGCACATGCCCTTTATATGAGGTTGCGGCCATCCGGACGATCGGAGGGTGGTGTCCTGACGATTGATCAGACGCTGATTGGAGGATCGACAGAACTTTGCCGCACGTCCGGTCAGAGTCTGGTCGGAACTTGAATTTTCCAGTCAAAATCAAAAACGGCGATTTTACGCGTTATCTTGCCCGAGATTGCGGCGGCGAATTAAGCAGAAATAAATAACGAAACTTGGCGATTTTTTGCGGCCTAAAGAGGATGGGGAATACCTAACCCTTCTGGCCTTCAGCACACCTAATATCCCTCTGCTCAAGGCCAAAAGGGTTAGGTGTTCACCATCCTGTTTGAGCCGCAAAAACATCGCCAAGTTTCGTTATTTATCTCTGCTTAATTCGCCGCCGCAGTCTCGGACAAGCCTAACGCGTAAAATCGCCGTTTTATATTTCGACTCGGAAATTCAATTTCCGACCAGACACGCGGAAAAAACTTATGTCGATCCTCCGGTCAGCGTCTGGACAGTCGTCGAGACACCACCCTCCAATCGTCTAGACGGCCGCGACCTCATATAACAGGCTTGTGCGGAAGCGCCTGGGTAATATAGGTTTTCTCGTGTGATTGGCTCAGGTTGCATGTGGGGTTCCGGAAATCTCGTGATTGGTACATGCACAACCGTCGAGCAGACTCGATGGTCTGATTAGTATTACTTATATATGGCCAGTATGGCTGGGTAGGCTCCCTCGCATAGACGACCGACATGGTGTGATGTAGCGACTCACGATTCATTAAGACATTCTAACTTGACGTTGTTCACTTAGGATCGTGGCTTGTTTTCAGAGGCGCTTGCTTCTAGCTCCCTTCACCTAGTATCGAGACGCTTATCTCCGTACCGTTTGGCTGAGCCCCTCAACATTTTATATGCATAAGTTGCCAGCGCTCGGCAGCCTTGTGCCGAGAAGACAAGATTATCTCGGACTTGCACCCTTGCGGGAGGCTTATTCGCCCCTTCCTGACTCCAGTCAGTGCCGGTCGCGGCAGCAACATATTGCACATGAAGGCGGTGCGGTGACTTATGTAATGCAGAACCGGTGGTAAGCCAGGCTTGTCGCGCGTTGTATTGACTGTGTGTCGGGCGAAGTGTAGTAGTCTGACTGATTAGCTGGAGTGGTATGGGACACTCCCTTGCATGATGTTCTAATTAATGTTGTGCTCGTCCGGCAAACACCACGCGCTAGAAAGCTTCTATTATGCTGCCTGCTAGTCCGAGTCAATGCATCCGTAGCTCCACCTACCGAGGAGCTACCCTAGCGGTGACCGTCTCGGTCGTCTCGGGTTAGTATAAGTTTGATTCCGTTAGGCCCCCATTAGGATACGGGTAGCGGGTAAGCGTCACTGTGTGGGCGTTACATGACAGGCAGAACACCGGATCTTCAAATAGCAGAGCACGTGTGAGCCGTGTTGGCATTGGCTGGATGTTTTAGAATGCTTCCAGTCTACACTGGATTAGGAGGCGCCGTCGATACCTCGAACAATACAACGCACGCCTACCGAGAACTCCTGAACATGGTGTTATAATATACGATCCGACCGTTTTACCGGGTAGGGGTTGTGTCGATCATAATTGGTACGGTTCTTATCCTATGCTCCTACAGGTCCCCAAAAGAGCATATAGGACTACCGGAAGCAGCTCGAGGCATATATGCCGAATTGTACATCTAGAGGCAACTTGTCTTATATTCTTATACATTAGAGCTCGTTAAAGGCAACGCTTATGAGTGTTTCCGTAGGCTTATACAACAGCAATAGCCTCAAATGGAACTTCCTATCGACGGTTCTACACCAAAGCAGAGTCTAATATATAGACTACACTGGAGCCGTTAAAAAACCCCCCGAACATGTCGACGGTCCCATCCGCGCGCTGAGTCGCGGAGGGTCCGACTGATCGCTAAATACAGATGGGGGACAGATCGATGGACCCTTCCGCACTGCGGCATTCTACCTGTAGGCTTTGAGTGTCATAATTAGTAATTACCCGGTGGGCCTGGTGATGGTCTCTTTTCGTTCTCGCCGTAGCCGTGATCCTGTTGTCTTTCTAGCGCAGCACAGTAGCCGCGCACGACGTCGTACACAGCGGAAAATGCAGTAAAACTTTGACTTGTATTATTGCCGATTTATACTAAATCAGAGTAAGGCCGTTCGAAGTTAAATCCCGGTTTAATACCCGTCCCCGACCGACAAAAGATCGGAAGAATGTTCGAGAAAAATAACAGTTGTTATCCGTACTTCCAGTTTTGGACCCTTCGATTCTGAGATCAAGTCTTCAATGTGGAATCCAGAATATCGGGAGTACTTTTTGGCTTTTGCCCCAGGATTTTCAGATTCTTCCGCCTTATCAGAATCAAACGTGTCTATGATATATTTATTATTTTTTCCCGACCGACCGACCCACCCATGCAAAAGGGGGTCCGTGGACCGTGACCCGTCCCTCACCCGTCCCTCACCCGTCCCTCACCTTAAATGCCCCATTACCCGCTGGGCCGACCTACACCCCTCCAGTTTTGAGCCCAATATAACCTTTGGCGGGGATTTGGGCATTCTTGTGGGCGGAGTTACCTCATCTACGGTTAAAATTGAATCTCGTAAAATGTTGACGTCGTATTCGATACCTTCGACAATAATGTATAGTCTCTCAGGGAGTATCACACAGTAATTTTAGAATTTAGAAAGTGTAGTTTTCACACCCTTCGACACCGTCTCGTCTTTCGCGTTTTTACCGTACTGCTACGTAATTTCGGCAAAAAATAAATAATTATGTGCCGTGCCGAATTTCGCTGGAAAGTATTCTGGAGCGATAATGGTCGATAACGGTGATTTTTAGCTGGTAACACTAGGTCTGCCGAAAGGATAGAAAGTTTCATAATTAAATTTTTGGCGTCGAAGGTGCCGAAATCAAATAGCAGTACGGTAGTAGGACCGGAAACCGGGATATAACTTCGAAGGTGTTAAGGTGAAAAGGTGAAAAGAGGCAAGCCAATCTGCAACCTTAGTACAAATTCTGTTTCCGACCCTCATGCAGACTCTCTGCGGGGTTTTGCGACTGCGGGATTTTGCGACTGCGAGAACGTATCCCTATCAAGATCAAGCTGGACGGGTCATACCAGTATCCAGATGGCGCAACACTTGGGCTTTCTGGCTGAATGTCAACGCCATGCAGGAGCTGCAATCTTTGTGGCCCTGACTCTAGTCCTTGGATTGGCCATCTTGCCGGGCGTCTTCCAGACGTTCAGCGACGAAATGACCGTGATCCCTAGGTTGGAAGAGGGGCTGGGACATGCAGCCTCCCACCTGAGAGACCTTACTGCCCAGGAAGGGGCCGCAGAATCGCAGCATAAGTTCCTAATGGACGAAGCACTTCGAGTGACAGAGAGCAACATTGTCAAAAGAGAGGCATATAGAGGTCGCCGCACGGGCCTGCCATTTAAAGATATGCATGTGGTGGGTATTGTGGAGCTCATGGAGTACTGGGCCCCCATCTACCCTTGCTATTGGGAGATCAGATACGGAAAGGTTGGAGAAGGGGGCAAGTGGATTTGCAACGGTCAAAGACTAAGTAGCCAAAGTGTCATCTACAGTGTGGGCAGCAATGGGGCGACTGATTTTGAGGAAGATATTTTCAATCAGACGGGGGCTGAGATCCACGTTTTTGACTGCACTTTAGATGAACAGCGAACGCGGCATGTGGAATCCTTATCCCATGTTTTTCAGTTTTATCCAATCTGCATTGCTCCCGAATCCCACATGGACAAGCAGGACAGAGAGTTCCTGTCTGTGCAGGATGTGATGACACGGCTCGGGCACAGCTTTGTGGACATTCTCAAGGTGGACTGTGAGGGTTGCGAGTTTGCCAGCTTTAGGAATCTGTTCCAGCCCAATGCGGAAGTACCTGTAGGGCAATTTCTGGTGGAAACACATAGCAGATACAGAGAAATGGGGCCCGACGGAAATGACTTCTCGCAGGTCAGTAGGTTGCTCCAAGAGTATGAAGACGCAGGACTTAGGCTTTTTCATGTGGAGCCAAATTGGCGTTGGTGGCCAAATGGGGTTGAATGGGCTTTCATAAATGTGAAGCGTCTGGCATGATGATGCATCAGGCATCAGTAAAGGTAGAACGGCAGCAGTCGGTACCAGGCAGTGGAAGGGCCGGGCTAGCTTTGACTACACGCTCTGTCGCTATTGTCACCTGCCTGGAGGCTACCTGATAAGTACACTTCCAATGACACATTGATCGCATCAATGTGCTTAATTACATATGCATTTGATGATTGCCATGATTCTGCCATGATTCTGCCAATTCAGTGTGTCAGATACAAAAGCAAGCAGGATGCTACAAACCTAGAAACTTAAGAAGACAAGAGGAATGGAAGAATATCCCTATGATAGAACATATAGTCAACCTGAAAATCGCAGGCCGGTCTCTCAAACCTAGCCGCTGCCTTCAACTTTGAACTCGGCATTTGAAAATTGGAGCCACGCCATGCATCTGCTATGCTGCACAAGATTTACTCGGCCCAATGGCTAATGGTTGTCACCCCCATTGCATTGCCTCTTAACCGCGGTCTGTATCCTAATGATTGCGGAATCATCGCATATCACCCAAGGCGGCAGCCACCACATAGTCTTTCCAATAAGTAGAGCTACCGACACACCAACTCGAATTTGCAGGCAGATTGGAAGCTCAGTGGCGCGTGGCGCTAGCCGAACAAGTTCCACCTTAAACAATAATAGCTAAGCATAATGCAAGGGAGTGTCGCATACCACTCTAGCTAACCTATAAAGGCCGGGCACACATGCTCGGCCCGATACGTAAGGAAACAACCCAAAGCAAGACCTATTGATGGCGGTGTTGCACATGCCATTGTACATATCATCTTCATTTGAATCAACCTGTGTCTGGCCCAGGCCGCGTCGTCAATCAAAGCCAGAATGTGCTGAATAAGCGTACCTCCCAAGAGGGTTCACGTTGAGTGTTTACAGCGTCTTCTAAGTTCTCGGCACGTAAGGTTGCTGGGTGCCCAACAACTTCTCCCTACACGAGCTGACAGTCAATCAGCTACAGACACAAGCGTCTCTCCATCTCAGTACTACGAACAAAGGGCATCATGTCGAAACATGTGTGCAGTAGTGATCCTCGAGAAACGAAACGGCTACCAAGGGGGTGATGCTAGGAACAGCAAGTATCCGGAACCAGCCTCCAAGGGGGGGGGGGGCGCCTGGCCTAAAAATCCTAGCCCCTAGTAGTCACAAACCAGCCCGGCACCTTGAACACAATCTTTTTGGGAATTCTCGTCTGTGGAGGCATGCAAAGAGAGGATCAAAACCGACAATGCTTGCTAATC